GTGGCTGGGACTACAGGTGTGTATGACCACACCTGACTAATTTTTGTATTTTTTTGTAGAGATGGGTTTCACCATTTTGCCCAGGCTGGTCTTGAACTCCTAGGCTCAAGTGATCTGCCCATCTGAGCCTCCCAAAGTGCAGGGATTACAGTGTGAGTTGCCGCGCCTGGCCAACCCATGTATACTTTAAAGTACTATTTTTTCTCAGCAGTCCTACTTCTATTTTTAAAAATGGTTCTTTTAAAGAGCCAAGCTGAATCATCTGCATGGCTCCCATACAGACTGGGTAAACTCCCCATAGATTTTCTTTTCAGAAAGAATATAATAAAATTGTGATCTTGCAATCCCTCAGGACACTTCTGACAGTTCAATGGGACATAGTTCTAGTTGCCATGAATTGCTGTAGCTAATTCCTGAAAGTTCTTTCCTGCAGCCTGTAATAAGAGCTAACACTTACCAGACATTAACTACTCAGTGTCTGCTAAGTACTCATCCTGTAACTTCTTACTTAATCCTCACAACCGCCCTATGAGGGAGGTACACATTGTCCCCATTTTACAGATGAGAAAGTTGGGATGGAGAGAATAAGTAACTCCTAGTGACTAGCAGGGACAGGTGTAGAGCACAGATCACTCTGATAGCAGAGCCAAATAAGCTCTCTCTCTCTCTTTTTGAGATGGAGTTTCGCTCTCAGTGCCCTAGCTGGAGTGCAATGGCGCAATCTCAGCTCACCATAACCTCCACCTCCTACGTTCAAGCGAATCTCCTGTTTCAGCCTCCTAAGTAGCTGGGATTACAGATGCCCTCCACCACACCCAGCTAAGTTTTTGTAGTTTTCGTAGAGACAGGGTTTCATGTTTACCAGGCTGGTCTCAAAATCCTGACCTCAGGTGATCCACCTGCCTTTGCCTCCCAAAGTGCTGGGATTACAGGCGTGAGCCACCACTCGCAGCCCACGGAAGCTCTTAACCACTACCATCTACTGCCTTCCCCAAAGGTCAAATTAAAGGCCCAAGCTAGCAAACACAGTACCCTTTACAACTGGCCTTCTGAGAGAGTAGTCTTATCTCCCCAGCTGCTCAAGCAACCTGCACTGCAATCGCAGGAAGAGAGGGGCACATGTGCCAGGCACTTCTGCGCCAGGCAGAGAAGCCCAGGCCAACACAGGGAGCTTGCCATCTGGCACTGGTTGCACACAGTGCTTCCTCAGCAAAGATCCATCGCCCCAGCACCAACTCTCCTCTCTCAGAAGCCTAGGCTCATCTCTGAAGAGGTCTCCAGTCCTTCGGACTCTCCTGGTCTTCCTCCCTCCCTCCTTTACTGGGACTCCAGTGAAATCTTTCTAAAATATATATCCAGTCATGTCATTCCCCTGCTTCAAACCTTTTCACTTGCTCCCGACTGCCCTGGGCATGATATCTCAAATTGTTAATATGGCATTCTTTCATCAACCTATACTGCTTCATTTGCACCATGTCAACTTCCATACCATTAGATTGAACAATCTGAGGTTTCTGGAACAAACTGAGTTTCTTTGTCTCTCTCGCTCTCTAGGTATTCATTCTCACCTGGCTAAGCCTTTCCCCTCCTCTCCTTTTAGACTCAGCTCCAGCATCACTTCTGCCAAGCCTTCCCAGGATACACCCCCATCCCCACCCCACCCCCCAGGCGAAGCTTGCAGCTTTCTCCACTGGGCTCCCACCATACTACTCTGTTGCTGCTGCTATTAGCTTCTTTTCTTTGAGACAGAGTTTCTCTCTTGTTGCCCAGGCTAGAGTGCGATGGCACGATCTCAGCTCATAGCAAATAGCAATCTCCGCCTCCCAGGTTCAAGCGATTCTTCTGACTCAGCTTCCCAAGTAGCTGGGATTACAGGCATGCAACACTACTAATACCCAGCTAATTTTTTTGTATTTTTAGTAGAGACAAGGTTTCACCATGTTGACCAGGCTGGTCTTGAACTTCTGACCTCAGGTAATCCACCTGCCTCAGCCTCCTAAAGTGCTAGGATTACAGCTGGGCTTCTTTAAATTACATTTCAACTATTTGTTTACAGGTCAGCATCCCTTAACTAGACTGTGTGCTCCTTGAAATAAAAACAGGTAACATTTACTGAATTCTTATTACATGGCAGACACGGTTCTATGTTTTACATGTTCACTTTTTACTCTTCATAATATCTCTCTGTTATCATCTCTGTTTTATAGATGAAGACACTGAGGCACAGGGAGACTAAGCAATGTGTCTGGGGACACACAGCTGGAAAGTTGCTGAGCCAGAATTTGAACTCAAGATACCTGGCTCCAAAGCCTAGTCATAACTACTATAATGTCTAGCACTTGCCTCCAGGGAAGGACTTTTGTTGTCACATGAGGAATGAATGAATGAATGAGTACTGTCTAGATTAACCCAACCAACAACTCCCATAGAAGGGCCATTAGGAAGCACTAAAGCACTAAGGCATTGTTTACAAACAAGATTCTTTTAGCCCTACAATGACATATTCTGTTTTTCCTCATCTCATGCAAAACTACTCAGTCAAAGAGGGAAAGGCACCCAGCCCAATAAGTCTTACTCTCTTCCCCACTGGTTCTCAAAACCAAAGCAAAGCCAACCGGTTTCCTCCAGTGACTTAAAACAGAGCGAAGTCTATCCTGCCACACACAGGGCGGCTGTCATCTCCCCCTTCCGCTAACAAAAGGGCATCAAATCTGGGGTTGGGGTGGGCAGAAAACTCGGCATCGGGAATCCGAATGTCCCTACCTACTGGCTGGAAGGCAGGGCCGAGTGGCGTCGGAATGGGCGGGCCTGACCGGCTCGGCAGGTGAAACACTGACCACAGCAAGCTCTCCTTGGAAAAGGCCGGCCAAACGTGGCCTTGGCAAGCAGCTAGCTGTGACTCGTACCTGAACGCCGCCCGGGAGACGAAAATTCCCCAGCAGCGGTAGCGCCCGTGCCAAAGAGTGAGGGCTCTTGGAGGAAACCCAAGAGGGTTGGCCCTCCCTGGGGACTCATTCTAACTATCAAGTCACTTTCGGGATTAGGAGGGAAGCACGGAGAGGCAGGGGTGGTGTCTTTTTGGAAAAATCCGGCTGGGTTCACACGCCGGTTGCTTCACTGACTGGCTGGGTGACTCTGGGCAAGGCTGGCAGTGCCCACTTCTCAGAGCTGCGGCGGAGACTGAAGCTCCCGCGGCCCCCTGGTACCCAGCGCGAGGCAGCCCTCGCCCCTGCCGCCGAGGAGGGGCAGACCCCCCCACCGGAGGGGGCGGAATTCGGCGGGGCCATTTCTGTTGCACCCAGACGGCTTCGGGCTGTCACTCCGATTCTACCGCCGCGGCCGCCGAGGCCTGCCCCGCCTACCCGCAACCCCCGCCGGGCTCCCCGCTCCGGGCTCCCCGCCCTCACCTTCGCCGGGTGGTCAGAGCTGTTCGCCCATAGTCCGTAGCCTGGAGCCGGGGCTTCTCGGCTCTCCGTCCAGGGGGGCCGGGGCCGGGCTAGGGGGCGTGCGAGCCGTTCAACGCCGCCTCCCAGCGCAGCCACCCGAGCCGCCGCCGCCGCCGCCGCCGCCTCCCTCCATGGCTGCGGCGCCGCCACCTGACAACGGAAGTGACGCAACGCCCCCTCCTCCCCGGCCTTTGCCGCGGTCCCGCCCCTACAGGGCCCCGCCCCCCGCCGGTGCCTCCAGCCCCGCGGCTTTCGGATTGGGGCGCCATCTTGACGATGGGCGGAAAATTTCAGGCAAGAGACTAGACTCCGATTGAGGATTGGTTGACGGTGGGGTCTGGGCGAAACCAGTTACACGATTGGAGGCCGAGGCTCTAATGGGCGGTACTTACCGCTGATCTGTGTCTGCGGCGGGGCTGGGACTGAGGCACCGCCCCGCCGCCTCCACAGAACCTCGCGGGCCGTACACTCTCCCTGCGGAGGTTGAAGTCCCCAGCGGTTGGAAGATTGACCAATTGTAGTGTATTTATTAGAAAAGGGACTCTTCCTTGATCCCCATCTCCCGGTTTCTGGAACTCTGTGAGGAAGGCGCTGCAGTTAGGCTCAATAAAGACGGAAATTCCTGTCGCAGCGCTCATAATTCATTTCCCTCTAGGTCACTCGCCTTTGTAGAAACCCCGAGGATGGCCAGCTTCAACCTGGAGATCCCTGAAGCCTTGACCAGGGAGGTTTACAGTGAAGAGTTCCTATTAGCGACTACATCTATCTAACCTCAGTTCCTCCCGCTGCAGTTTCGGTCCCTTTCTCCTCCTCCAGCAACCACGCCCTCCATGAATCAGCTTCTTGCACCAGCAGATGAGCCCTTTAAAGGGATTGCATCAGGCAAGTGACTCACTGGGGCCCTCTAAGCGCCCGGCTTCCCTCCCTTGGCATGCAGAAGCAGCTAGAAGGGCTCAGTGGCAGCAGCACCAGCGGCCATAGCCACTCCCTTGTCTTAGAGATGTGAGTCAGGGTGTTTGCCGCTTATGATGTCTAACTCTTGGCTGTCTTTCCAGCTGTCCCCTGGGTCACTCTATATCTGTGTGTGGGGAAACGTGGGCCTGTGTGCACTGCTGGTTTTTCCTAGGGTGTGTGACCAGACACTTGTGTGTATGTGCATTTGTCATCTCCACATAGGCAGTGCCAGGACAGGAGAGCTGAGTGAAGTCTGGCCGCCTCCACCTGTGTCCTTTGTCTCTGAATGCCTGATGCCCACTGAGCTGCTGATGGGGCTGAATAACAATAGTAATCAGGACAACTCCCTCCGTTGTGCCACACTCTGCATTAAGCACTTGAGAGACATTAGCATTACGTAGGCGGCTGTTTACAGCCGAGGAAGCTCGCGCTCAGAGAAGGAAATTAATATGCCCAAACACACACAGCTAATAACTGCAGGGCTAGGATTTGAATCAAGTCTAGTGGATTCCAAAAAGCTTGGCTTTGAAACCCTGCTGCATCACTTTCCAAGTTGGGTGACTATGTGCAAGTGGCCCGATCTTCCCCTTCTCTCCAAATAGGGATAACGCTTGGGGGATCGCTGTGAGGACTCGGAGTTATGGAAACCGCTTTTTGCAAGACCCAGCCAGTGCCCACACTCATCTCACTTGAAGGTGGGTGACCAAAAGACAGGCATAAAGACAGCTCTAGCCCACTAAGCTCCTCTCTCTGGCAAAACGAAAAGCCTAGGGATTCCGGAAGCCTTGACTCTGACAAAAATGAGTTTTGGGTTTTCCAGAGCTCTAATTATCAGCTAGATGAATCACTCTGCGCTGACACCACCATCCCACCCCCAGGAGACTCTCAGCTGATTGAAAATATAGGATTTTAACAAAGGAGAGGAGGAGGAACAGAAAGTGGAGAGGAGAAGTAATGAATAGAAACCAAAGGTGCCAGCCAGAGGAAATGAGAAACTGTCTTCAGGACACCAGCATGAGGAGACCGCTGGGTCACACACACACACACACACACACGCACACATGCACGCTCACGCTGACATACTCTTGCTGGTTCTCTAACTCTGGGCTTACTGGCAGACAGTGCTGCCATAACAAAGTGACGCCAGTCACAATGGCATGAGACAGTTGCTTGATGAGTTATAGGCAGATCTGCCTATCACAGGAGGGAAGGAGACCTTCAACCCCCAGAGACTTCCTCAGGCTTCTGAACCCCAGTCCCACTTACTGCTTGGCTCTGGCTTCTCTTTGTCACCGAACCACAAGGTCTAAGTGTGGCAAATTTTGAATGTCAGACCTACACTCTGTGGCTAGGTACCACCACTGTGGTGAACAAAGGCACCTCTTATCATACTCTATCATCAGTGTGACGCCAAGAGAGCTGGGAAACAGAATAGCACAGTAGTTAAGATCATGGAGTTGGAGTCACACAGACCTGAGTTCAAATCCCATTCTGTTGTTCACCTTGGCAGGCCATGTAACTGCTTTGAGCCTGTTTGCTCACCTGTAAAATGGTGCTATTAATATATGGGTTGTTATAATGATGAAATAAAATTGCTGGCTGGGTGTGGTGGCTCATGCCTGTAACCCAAGGTGGGAGGATCACAAGGTCAGGAGTTTGAGACCAGCCTGACTAACATGGTGAAATTCCCTCTCTACTAAAAATACAAAAATGAGTCAGGCATGGTGGCATGTGCCTGTAATCCGAGCTACTCAGGAGGTTGGGGCAGGAGAATTGCTTTAACTTGGGAGGTGGAGATTGCAGTGAGCCGAGATTGTGCCACTGTACTCCAGCCTGGGTGACAGAGTCAGACTCCATCTCAAAAAAAAAAAAAAAATTACTTTCACGCCGGGCACAGTGGCTCACACCTGTAATCCCAGCATTTTGGGAGGCCAAGGCAGGCAGATAATCTGAGGTCAAGTGTTCGAAACCAGCCTGGCTAACAAGGCGAAACCTCGTCTCTAAAAATACAAAAAATAGCCAGGAGAATCATCTGAACCTGGAAGGCGGAAGTTGCAGTGAGCCAAGATCTTGCCATTGCACTCCAGCCTGGGGGACAAGAGTGAATCCACATCTCAAAAAAAAAAAAAAAAAAAAAGATTACTTTCTTTCACAAGATTGATGGAGTGCCCACTATGTGCAGAGCACTGAGCTAGATGCTGGAGATCTGGTGATAAGCAGACAACAGCTCTGCCGTCATGGAGCATCAGAGCACCTAGCACAGGCAAGCAGTAAGATTCCACCAACAGTAGCTATTTTTTATTTATTTTATTTTATTTTAGAGACAGGGTCTTGCTCTGTTGCCTAGGCTGGAGTGCAGTGGCACAATTACAGCTCACTGCACCCTCAAACTTCCAGGCTCAAGAGATCTTACCATCTCAGCCTCCTGAGTAACTGGGACTACAGGCATGTGCAACCACATCCTGCTAATTAAAAAAAAAAATTTTTTTTTGAGACAGAGTCTCACTCTGTTGCCTAGTCTGGAGTGCAATGGCGTGATCTTGGCTTACTGCAACCTCTGCCTCCCGGGTTCAAGTGATTCTCCTGCCTCAGCCTCCCTAGTGGTTGGGATTACAGGCATGCACCACCATGCCCAGCTAATTTTTATATTTTTAGTAGAGATGGGGTTTCACCATGTTGGTCAGGCTGGTCTTGAACTCCTGAACTCAAGTGATCCACCTGCCTTGGCCTCCCAAAGTGCTGGGATTACAGGCATGAGCCATCACACCTGGCTAAAAAAATTTTTATGGAGACAGGGTCTCACTGTGTTACCAGGTCTGGTCTTAAACTCCTGAGCTCAGGTGATTCTCCTACCTCAGCCTCCCAAAGTGTTGGGATTATAGGCGTGAGCACCTGGCCAGTAGCTGCTATTTTTCATGACTATGGTGCCCTTTTTCTTTCTTTCATTTTTTTTTTTTTTTGGAGACAGTCTTGCTCTATTGTCTAGGCTGGAGTGCAATGGCACAATCTCGGCTCACCAGAACTTCTGCCTCCTGGGTTCAAGTAATTCTCCTGCCTCAGCCTCCCGAGTAGCTGGGACTACAGGCATGTACCACCATGCCTGGCTAATTTTACATTTTTAGTAGAGACAGGATTTCTCCATGTTGGTCAGGCTGGTCTCGAACTCCTGACCTCAGGTGATCTGCCCGCTGCGGCCTCCCAAAGTGCTGGGATTATAGGCCTGAGCCACCGTGCCCAGCTATGCTACCCATCTTGGCACTCTGCCTCTAACTTAGCCATGGGACCTGGGGGGCCTCAGTTTCCTCAGCTGTAAAATGATAGAGTTGGACTGGATCAGTAGCAGCAGTTACCAACTTTCTCACCTTCGAAGCTTTTTTAGTCTTTTTCCCTCTGCCTCCACACTATCCAGAATCCCGTGTGGCAGTAATACTTTGCATTGTTTTTCATCTTTTCCTTGGTGTCCTCCTGTCCTTCTCTTACACAGAAAGGTTATTCTGTATTCAGGTCATTTTGTATTCATTACTTCAGGAAACAAATGATACAACAGAATGCAGAGTCCATTTTTAGCTCCTGAATTCCAAAAGTTTAGCTTTCAGGGAGAAATGGACAGAATTTCTGTGCAGGTACAAATTTAGAAACTGTAAAACGGGGGGATCTGGGAGACTGAGAGTGAGGAGGCATTCCTGAGAAGAGAGAGGCTTCTCCTCAGTCTTGTAACTGGGGGTATCATCTGGGTCCAAGGAACTGAAGCAGAGAAGAGCTATGCTCTTTTTTCTGGGTGGGGCACCAGGCAGGTAACAAAACCCTCTGGAGAAATGGCTGTGTGCTGCATTTTGGATGGACAAACAGGGCCTAACTCACCTAAGACTCAAGAATTTCCAGGCTGGGCGCATGGCTCACGCCTGTAATCCCAGCACTTTGGGAGGTTGAGGCGGGTGGTTCACAAGGTTAGGAGTTCGAGACCAGCCTGGCCAAGATGGCAAAACACTGTCTCTACTAAAAATACAAAAATTAGCCAGGCACGGTGGCGGGCACCTGTAATCCCAGCTACTCACTCAGGAGACCGAGGCAGGAGAATCGCTTGCACCTGGGAGGAGGTTGCAGTGAGCTGAGATCCTGCCACTGCACTCTAGCCTGGGCAAGAGAGCAAGACTCTGTCCTCCCCCTGCAATAAAAAAGAATTTCCTAGACCTAACGTGGCCTGGGGAAAGCAGAAAGGCAAAACAAAACGGGGTATGTGTTACACTTGGAGGGGTCTTTTGGTGGGGGGATGGGAAGCAACTCAGCAGCAACCTTCACGGGCTGATGACAAAAGGCCACAACCAAATGAGAACAGCTCAGTGGACGCTAGTGTGACTGGATGACCACCCAATCAGACTATCCTTCCCATGCTTTAGTACCATGAAAGGAAGAGCCCTAGAATTCCAACATAATGCCAAGGAAAATGGGGGAACTATGAATTGACTGTAATTAAGTTTCTGCCACTCTGGCTAAGTGGGGCAAAATACAGGAATTCAAGTGAGTTCAAGAAATTCAAGTTCTGTTTCCTACACACCAGAAACTGGAACCAGCTATACTCTACCCACAGGCCTTATGTATGTGCCCCACCCCCTCCCGTTTCTCCACCCTCATCTGCCTCTCTCTCCCCTAGTAGCCACAGTGTCACTATTATTGTCTCAAAACCCCAAGCTTTCTCATCCCAGGACCTTTGCACAGGCAGTTTCCTCTGCCTTGTCCTGGCTCTTTAAATGACAGGCTCCTTCTGAGTTTAAATATTTCCCTGCTGGGTGGGGTGGCTCAAGCCCTGAATCCCAGTGACTGGGGCCAAGCAAGGCAGGAGAATTGCTTGAGGCCAGAAGTTTGAGACCAGCCTGGACAACATAGCGATACCCTCTTAAAAAAAAAAAAACTTGGCAGGTGTGGTAGTGCACGCCTATAATCCTAGCACTTTGGGAGGCCGAGGCAGGTGGATCACAAGGTCAGGAGATTGAGACCATCCAGGCTAACACAGTGAAACCCCATACTAAAAATACAAAAAATTAGCTGGGCATGGTGGCACACACCTATAGTCCCAGCTACTCGGGAGGCTGAGGCAGGAGAATCACTTGAACCTGGGAGGTGGAGGTTGCAGTGAGCTGAGATCCAGGCCACTCCATCTTAAAAAAAAAAAAGAAAAAAGAGTTATGAAATTAAGACAGTGCAGTGGCATGCACCTTATAGTTCCAGCTACTTGGGAGGCTGAGGCTTGAGCCCGGGAGTTCAAAGCTGCAGTGAGCTATGATCGCACCACTGCTCTCTAGCCTGAGCGACAGAGCAAGACCCTATGTCTAAAAAAAAAAAAGAAATTTCACTTCCTTCAGGTATAACCTTAAGACTGAACAAAACAAAACAAAAATTTCACTTCCTCAGACTACATTTTTAAAAATAAAACTACCTGTTAATTGTCTCTCAAAGGGTCCTGTTTATTTCCGTCAGGGCCTCTGTAAATATTTTTACTTTTTTAGTGTATCTGTTTCCCCCATTAGAATGTTCACTTCATGAGCAAGACCTTTGTTCCTCCTGACGTTCCCCAGTTGCTACCACTGTGCCTGGTACACAGCTGGTGCTCGAGAATGACCTGTGGAATGGCTGACCAGTGGCTGTTGGGGAGTTCCTGGCTTCCCACAGGCTGGTGGGCACTGGGCTCCTCAACCCC